TACAAAATATTTTAGAGACTTTTCTGCATAACCACTTACGACCCTGTTAAATTTCACGCGTATTCGTGAAACCAAGGGCACGCTGAGGCGTAAGCCCTCTTAGTTCATTCGAATATTGTTCTAACAGTTGAAAGGTCGAAGTTTCTGTGTGTCATTATTTTATCAATAGTGCCCATATCAAGTTCAGGTCAAGGTTCGTTCAATCAAACTGTGAGGGTGTTTACTGAGTATCTTTTTGTTTTGTATTGTCGTAAGTCAAAAATAGTCAATGAGATACGTTCATCAATAGTTAAGGTAAAGTGAGACTTAACTTAAAGACATACGTCTACAGAGGTGTGACGCCTCCAGATCCTGGAGGCTCTCATGAGCCTTACAGAGCCGGGTTGCCAACGGGGGAATTACTGCTCGGTTTCCTCTGTCAGGGAAAATGTCGGAGCGTTTTGGATATTGGACACAACGGCCATTGGCCGACGTGGTATCCTGGTTCTGTGTGACCGTCTAGGTTCCTCTCGAGGTAATCGCTGGAGTCCGAAAGTATCTCATAATGATTTTTACTACTTTAAAGTTGTCTGTCTGCTCGGTTATCTCTGAATCAGAGGTAACGTCGTAGCTTTTGGGTATTGACACGCTAACGTGATATCCTGGTTTCTGGACTGCTTTTCGTAACAATCAAAAACTTGGCCTGATCATGGACACGGGGGTGATTGTCATGCTGTAATAATCTACTGTTCCTTCGTGCGAGATATTTTCTTATCAGGCGTGACTTCCATGCGGTAGGAAGCTACCGTTCTCTGGTTATGGACACGGGGGTGAGTTTCATGCGCTAGGATGCTACTGTTCTCCCAATTTCTCATAATATAATTGAGAAATATCATGGCCATTATTATACGAGCCCCTTCCCACTTCAGTTGGCCCACTTCAAGATTTGTGCCTTTATAAACTAAACATGATCAAACTATTTACTTCTAAAACAATTTATTTTCTCAAAAACATTTTAGATACCCTCTAGTCGTAAAAAATACATATTTGAAATCACTCAGACCTATAACTAATAGAACATCTGAACAAATAAACAATGCGCGAATAAATGCGCGAAGTTAACAAAGCAACAATTGAAAGATTACCATTGGGTAACATCACCTTTATTTTTTATTACGGCTGAAATTCTTTGCGGCATAGTGTTAACCAAGTTTTGGCAAACATTTGGTGTAAAACAATCACATATTTCTTGAAGCTTTTGTCTCAGTTCGGTGATTGTACGAGCAGGATGTTGTCGTAGAACCTTTTTCATCTCGTGCCACAAAGTTTCAATAGGTGACAGATCTGGCCTGCTAGAAACCCATTTCAAAAGTGGTACATTATTTTCTTCCATCCATTTTATAGCCTTTTTTGAGGTAAGGCACGCTGGACATATTGCTGAATCACAAAATCTTGGCCGGATGTCAAACATTCTTCCATCACTGGTAAAAGCGATTCTTCTAAAATTGCCAAATATTTGTTTGTATCCGCATTTCCATCAATAAAATGAAGTTTTCCTACTCCCTTTGATGACATACTGCCCCAGACCATAATGGATGCTGGAAATTTCACTTTTCTCTTCAGACAGTCAACATGGAATGCTTCATTTTTTTGCGAATAACTCTACTACGACTGTCACCAACACAAACTTCGAATCGGGCCTCATCACTCCATTGTATTGCACACCATTGTTGAGGTGTCCATTGTCTATGTTCTTTAGCCCATCTAAGCCGATTTTTCTTTTGCAGTGGAGTTAATAGTGGCTTTTCTTTGGCCTATAAACAAGTTGTGCAACTTTAGGGTTTTCACTTCACTTTTTTTTATAAGAACACTTAACAAGTGTTAAATCCCAGTTTGTGGGCCTCTCTATGAGCTGTAGATCTCGAAATTCTCCTTCAAACAGCGTCACTCCACAGAATACGTAATTGTAAATAATTGGCACGCCTGTTTTTCACGATTATTCTTCTTTTAATGCTCTTCGGTCGGCATTTGTGATATTACTTTTTTCACATATCGTGGCTTAATATTAACCGAACCAGTTATGTTATATCTTCTAACAATATTTCTCACACTGTACCGCGATAAGTCTAACAAAGTTGCAATTTCTGAGTTTGCTTTCCCAGAATTAAAAAATTTAATTATCAGTAACCGAAATTTCTCACTAATAACCTTTCCTCTGCCCATTTTGAAAACCTTAACTACCCAAAACTATTTTAAACGTATTCTGACAGCTGTGATTAATAAAAACAATTGTCATGGCTTTTATTTTTCACAGCCACCTTATGCGTTATAGACTTATTTTGCATTGAAATTATTATGCTGCAAATTTGATTGGGAGTGATAAAGTTGGTGTTTTCTACTATACGTATACATTATCAAAATATTCATTGTTAATATTTTAAACCTATAACACCCTGCTACATTTTTATTATTTGTGTTTGATAAGAAAAAAACTAAGATTTCATTAGTTGGGCCAACTGAAGTGGGAAGGGGCTCATATTGTTTTATGATCAGTATCTAGATAGCTAATTGGCATAATGAATAGACAGTAGAGGTGTGCATGTCACGAGTCTCTAGAATATGGAAGGTATTCAAAATGGTTTTCCTACAGTTAGGCCAGACCCAGATATTCGTCCCTATCTCACGCCGACGAAGTGGCTTTAAAATTATCATGAGATTGAAGCCCTTGCCAAGTTGTTTATGTACTACCCTCGTAATAAAAATGAAAACGTACAGGGTAGCACTTAGAACGTGTGTAAGGTGGGATTGCTGTTTTCTCATATTTATGATTCTATTATCTTCTTATCGTATAATTGAATGGACCTGTTTGACATACTTTTTTAAGTTAGAGCTGTTCTGTAATGGAGTCAGAAAATTTTTATCTTTTCGTTTATGGTGACTACCATAAATTCACATTTAAACATTTTCCAAGTCGAGGTACTGGCTTTTGAACCTTGACGTCTGACTTGACTGTTTCTTTCAACATGTCATCATTTTCCAAGTTGTGTAGTGGAGTAGTGGATGATCCAGTAACTCGCATTGGATCTGGTAGAGTTGCGTGCGTGTTCTTGCCGCAACGTGAAGCCGAGCGTTGTCATGAAGCAGAAATATGGCGGTAGACAGGAGGCACTGTCAGCAGAAGTAACTTTTTGCGTTTAAAAACCGTATTACTTAGCGTACTTCGCAATCTGCGGGCGACTTGGCGACAAACAAAGTAGTAGAACCACACAACCAACAGCAACAAAACGTGAAGTGTAATGTTAGTAACAGACTGGACAATGATATCTGAGGTTGAACTTACAGGGTGCGCGGGCTCGCTGCGCAATCGGTTCTCAATTTAAAATATAATAATAAATACGGCTATGCAAAACAATAGCCGTGCGTTATGCCCTGTGTACGGGGTGGGGCTGCCTCCGTCGCCTATCGCACCGCGTCACATTCTTTTCCCTTGTCTTTGACCATTATTAGAGAGAAAATAATCCACAAACAAATTTTAGAGTTTACTTCTACTAACAATATATTGCCTGAGGAGTAGTTCGACTTTCGGAACCGCCGTAGCACTGATTCTGCACTATATGTTATAGACGATATAATCTCCAATTTGGGGGCAATAGTTCTGGTCTCTCTCGAAGGCATTCGACACCATAAGCCATGATCTACTATGAGTACATTATCCATGCCAATACATCGCGCAGCCATGTTTCAGCGTTCTTATTCATGTAAGCCGCCAAATATTATGATGCATTGGAGATAATTATTAGGAATACAGCAAATCTTCATACATTTAACTCACTATTAAAACAAAATTTGGTAGCACTTGATCTTTGTTGAATATATTTTATGTATATTAACACAAAAATTTCAGAAACATTTAATACTTTATTATCAAATAAAAGACATTATTATAGTTTATAGTATATACTTAATTTACACTTTTTGTATATACATATTTCCAATTATTGGTTGCACAGATTGGCCAATGGCTAGACTCCGCCATTTGCATCAAGCTTTTTAATGTGATGCTGTGACGTTAAAGATGCAATAAAGACATGTATTACTATATCACTATTGTAAGAATAATGATCTTCACTAACCTGAGAGGGATTTATGGGGTGTGACAAGTGTGCAAGCGGCACAGCTGTACGCCTAATAAATTATGACTAGGCACTAGGTACTGAAAGAAGGGCCTAACGGGAAGCACTTGACTTTTCTCGCTGGGCAAAGAGGCAGTTCTGCATCGTACATACAGCAATAAACATTACCTAGAATGATAGATGAGAACGTATTTTTCTTGTAGAAACGTCTCTCCGAGATTTGCAAATGTTAGTATTTGGAGCCAGTTAAGGTAAACTAGAGTTTATGACAGTTATGAAACGCGCAATAGAAATAACATTTGTCCTAATAGCCATCGTTTTGACAATACCAGAAACTGGGCAAAGTTTTTGGTGTTAATTTTTTAGCGTGTTGCCAAAACAGGTCAAATCGTTGAGTATTTCCACAGGAAACTCAAACTATATGTAAGAGGAAAGGCATTCTTCTGTATTGATGAATATTTGACAAATAAATTTTGTTATATTTATGCTTCGGGAAATGTTCATATTATTTTATTTCAGTGGGTCCAGCGTTTGCGCATGTGTTAATGTTCATTTTTATTTTACTCTGAACCGATTTTTCCGCTAGTTTGTATTTATTACGCTCCGTCCCGCTTTTGAGGTCGTGTCGCTGCTCTTATTTATTGTCCTTTTCCGCTTTTCGCTTTGTTTGCATGTATGTGTTACAGTCCCTCAAGGCAGTCATGTCTTGTTAACAAGTATTATTTTGACATGAATAAGCAAATTTGTGTTGTAACACCAATAAAGTATTATTATTATCGAAACTCGTCATAGGAACAATGCACAGATGCAAGAATTAGAAATAATTTTTGCTGATTGGAGCGCCATTTTTGGTCATAAACTTGACATAATCGTCTCTTTTTGTTTCAGTCAAATGTAGGCAGTGTAACAACCTCACTCCGGCAATTCCGCAAAGAAAAGCAAGCTCTGCAAGACGGCAACACGTCCGTGATAAACGAAAACCAGCATGTAGCCAGAGTAGCACCCCACAATCACTACCCCTCATTGTCCAGACCGTCTGACTGCTATAGATATCCCGCACAATATCAGGATTACAGGTAGGTAATGTGATTCCCATCAAATGTATACAGGGTTATCCAAATTAAGTGTCCACCATTGGTAACTTTGTTATTAGTAAAAATACAAAGTTGTTTAAATTAGCAAACTAGTAGCATTTTTAACGCTGGTAAAAATGAGAAATAAAAAAAAACAATTGAGAGTCGTTATTTTGATTTTTTTCAGTAAAATAACATTTTTTTAATGGAAACCCCTGTATATTATATTTTTTTCTGTTAAAGCATCAAATTTTAAACAAAAAAGTTCATAATGACTTTTCCGCTAAAGTCAAAAATAAAGTCAAAATAACGATAAATATTTTTAATTATTTGCAGTATTATAATATTAAGACGGCTATGAAAACAACATGGCGTTCGCGATTTGACAGCATTAAGATAAGCGACAAATTGTTAAACTGGACATACTCGCAACTAGAAGGCTTTGGAAAACAATGATAAAATCAAATAATGTCAAACATTAGTGTAAATACTTGTTTATAAGCTTTATTGTGTCATTAATTTAAAGAAAAATGTTCTCCCATGAAGAAAAGTGTGATATGTTAGAATGCTATTTAGTGTGCAGAAAATCCTCCTTGAGAGCAAGAGAATACTACAGTGAATTATATCCCCCTCGCATTCAACCGTATGAACGATATTTTCTGAGACTTTTATCGAAAATTTAGGGGCAACGAAAATGTTTTTGCTAAAACAAGGGCAAAAAAAGAATTCATAATAAGCGAGGCCACGGAAATTGCAGTTATTGGATATTTTGAAGCTTATCGTGAGAACTCAATAGCAGGTATTCTCAAGGACTCTAATTTCAGTTATGGTACTGTTCAAAGGATTTTAAAAAATACAAATTTATTCCGTATAAGTACCGACCAGTTCAAACGCTTTTGGCAGGGGATCCAGAGAGAAGACTTGTTTTTTGCCATTGGTATCTTAGCTTCTGTCGCCAAAATGTAAATAACTTTCGTTACCTTTTATGGACAGATGAATCAAATTTTTCAAATTCTGGAATGTTTAATAGAAAAAACCACCATTATTGGTCAAGAGAAAATCTTTTGTTAGTACATCCAAGAGGCACACAAGTCCGTTTCAGTTTCAACGTTTGGTGCGGTATAATTGGTTCAAAAATTGTTGGCCCGTTCTTTTATGAGGGAACCCTAACTGGTGAAAGATATGTGGAATTTATGTCAGAAATTCTGACTAATTTCTTAGACGAATTGGATCTTATAAGTAGACATCATCTGCATTTTCAGCAAGATGGCGCACCTGCCCACAACTCCAGAGGTACTTATCATTTTCTAAGTACTACTTTTAATGATCAGTGGATAGGAACAAATGGCCCAATACAGTGGCCCTCCCAGATCACCAGATCTAAACCCACTTGATTACTTCTTGTGTGGTTACTTAAAGAACCAAATTTACAAGCGAAGGTACGATAACCTTGACGCGTTAAAGACTGCAGTTAGGGAAAAGATAACCCAGATAGATGGTAGGACCATACTTAAGACAGTTCGAGCAGTTGAAAAACGTGCCCAAAAATGTATTGAAGAACAAGGTGGTGTTTTCGAGCATCTTCTTTAAAAAAAATTGTTATTGTATTTTGTAAGATTATAAGTTGATGTTGAAAATAAAGTTTGTCGATACAATTTAATTGTTTCAGATTGGAGGCCATAACTTCAACAATTTGTAACCTAGGAGAAAAGTTATTGTAAGCTTTTTTGTTTAAAATTTGATGCTTTAACAGAAAAAAATATAATATACAGGGGTTTCCATTTAAAAAAATAACGACTCTCAATTGTTTTTTTTTATTTCTCATTTTTACCAGCGTTAAAAATGCTACTAGTTTGCTAATTCAAACAACTTTGTATTTTCACTAATAACAAAGTTACTAATGGTGGACACTTAATTTGGATAACCCTGTATAGTTATTTACATAACAAGTGCATGTCAAGTTCGGAAAATACACTTTCCGCAAGTGTTAGGTATAAGATTTCTTCTAAGAGCGCAGCGCGAGAAGATAAACCCAGAATTTTAAATACGTACCATGTTTTATTAGAAATTTGAAAATAATTGTAGAATAAACATCAATAAATCATTTATAATAATTATTGACAATAAAAAGTAAAAAAAACAATTGTTTGGTTTATGAAAACCTTTTACTTTAATTTAACAAGAGTAACACGTAATGAGTGTGGAAAAGTTATGCGTGCGAAAAAGTGCTACTTTCTGCATGCAGATGCGTGTTGAGAGTGAGTACTTTCCGCACGCTGGTAGAAAAAATATATTCGCTTCGATTTTTGAGTGAATAGCTGCTATTTATTGGAAATGTAAAGATATCAGTTCACGTTTAATAGTCCAGTTACCATGAGACCGCTAGATGGCTGACGATTCTAGCTGTAAAGTAGATGTGGTCTACTTGCCATTGAATAAACTAAATATGATGCTTTCTCTCGTCCGACCAAAAGACAGCCAACCATGGACAGCTGATTCTTGCATCTTGGCTACTCATCAGTCTAGACCATGCTGGTAAAAGCCCAATGTTGAGGTACATCCCTTTTTGTACCCGCCCAAGAGAGAGTTAATACAATGCAAATTATATGAGAGTCGGTCGGGATCATGAGAAACTGTCAGTTTAAAGGAGGTGTCCGTGTAAAAGGGGTATGCGCGAAGAAAAATTTCACTGTATTTTGCACACTAACCTACTTAGTCCTCAAGTTGACATTATATCGGTTTTTTTCTGACCTTATTTAGGTTTTTTACGTAAAACCCTGCCGGAAACTCTGTGTGTTTATTACTTATGATGAATTAACTCGTATAAAATCTTTACATACTCGGTAGATATGTTTTATCAATTTCGTAATAAAACCCTGTATCTCGGTAGGGTATTAAAGGGACCATATTTTAGGAACAATTTCTGTTATTCTTGGACGTACTTTCTACCCTCGAAATATTGGCACGTCTTTCTCAATATATATACAGGGTGTCCGCAAAGTTGGGGTTTTTCTTTACACGATGTGTAGATCTTGAAAACATAAGCAATTTTTCTTAGTACCATATACACCAATGTCTTAAGGGAACCGAGATAAAGGGCTCTGCAACATCAAAAATATCTGAATACCGTCCTGTAGCCGCGACTCGCGACATCCCCGAGTGGTACTAGGACACTAGCTCAACCCGACGACAGAACTGGGTCGGGGTCAGTGTGTCAGGTCAGCATGCAACCTTCAACCGACGGTTACGGTCACGCGTGTAGAGGTAATCGCGTAGACGAGAATCCCTCAACAAGCACTAGAGACGTGGCTAGAGAAGTGCAAGTATCAAAAACTAAAGTGTGGCAAACGCTGCGTGAAGAGGGGCTGTATCCGTTTCACGTCCAACGTGTAAAAGCCCTTCAACCTGACGATTTTCCAGCAAGAGTGCGGTTTTGTGAGTGGTTGTTGCATCAACATGACAATAATCCGGACTTTTTGAAGTGCATATTGGTGACAGACGAATCTACGTTCACGCGTAATAGGGTGAATAACTTTCGCAACATTCATGTTTGGTCAGTAGAAAATACGCACGCTGTCCGGGCACATTTTCAACAAACATTTTCGGTGAATGTTTGGGCTGGCATGGTGAACGGTATGCTCATTGGACCATTTATTCTCCCAAATCGATTGGACGGGATGCAATATCTAGACTTTTTACGCAACCTTTTGCCTTCCTTGTTAAAAGATGTGCCATTAAGTGTAAGACAATCAATGTGGTTTCTGCACGATGGTCATATTTGTTACCTCTGTTCGTGGTCTGCACCACTGCCGGCATCTGCTCGGTAGCGCATCAGCTGATTTCATTTTCTGTTGGAGCGGTATGATTTCGGGCAGAGACGTACTTAGCCCTTCTCGTCAACTGGAGAATGAGTACTTTTTCCTTTATTTTTTTTTACTTGGTCGCCCTCGTTTCACTACACATTACCTTTGTTATTTCAAGGGTAGTTGTTTCTGAAAAGGAAAACCCCAACTTTGCGGACACCCATATATATATATAGCTCTACAGGCCTGAAAGGCCCAAGGCTTTACTTGTAATTTCTTTCCAGTTCTTCTTATTTTGTCACATCAATTTTCAGTTTTGTACATCTAAGCTTCTCAGATCAGCTTCTACTTCGCTCTTCCATCTTTCCTTCGGTCTCCCTCCCCTCTCCTTGCCTCCTATGCTTCTGCTAACAATCATTTTTGGAGTCCTATTTTCTGCCATCCTTTCTACATGCCCTAACCATTTCAACCTCTGTGCTCTTATATATCCCGTGATACTTGATTCTTTATACATATCTGCAAGGTCTTGGTTTGTTCTTCTTTCCCATACCCCATTGTTCTGTTTCCCTCGAAAAATGTTCCTTAATACCTTTCTTTCCCACACTTCTAGGGTATTTGTATCTGCCTTCCTCAAGATCCATGTTTCACAAGCAAATGTAACTGATGGTCTTATTACTGTTTTATATAATTTAATTTTTACTTTATTACCTATCAACTTGCTTTTCAGAAGATGGTTCAGGCTATATAAACATCTATTTCCCTTCCCCAGTCTTGCTTTGATTTCTTCCCATGTGATCGACCTCTGCAAAATTATATATTTTGCCACTGCCTGTTTTTACCTTTAGACTTTTTCCTGTCATAAAATCATCATCTGTCCATCTCGTATATTTAGTTTTAGTCTTCTGTTTCTAGCAACAATTGCAATGTCATCTGCGAACGCTAAACATTGGTGCTTTCTATTGTATAATAAACCATTCCTATTTAAATTTGCTGCTCTGATTATATCTTCCATTACATAGTTGAATAAAACTGTTGACAACAGATCCCTTGCCGCAACCCCACTTTTACCTTTACCTGAACTTTTCAGAATATTTTCCTTTAACTTCTATTCTATTTTCCGTTTCCTGAAGTGGCAACTTTATTAGCCTTATAATCTTTTCACTATTTCCTGGTACTCTTAGTGCCGATCTTCGGATTGTATCATATGCTTTTCTGAAGTCTATAAACGCTACTCTCTAAGCGTAAAAATTTG